GTAGGGAAAATATCTGCATGCCTTTTAAATTCTGAGAGAAACAATTACACACTTTGTTTCTTTGTTTTCCCTTCCTTCTAAAGCTAACCTTCTGCCCCTAAAGCGGTGATATTTTCTTGAAAACCCAAAAGAAAAGCTAAAGACTTTGGATTATACGTGGTACAATTGTAAATGCTACACTACTTTTAATGTAGTAAGTACAGAAATATGTGGTGGTTTTGCAGGCTGATCCACTTAATTTTAACACTCATTTCAGTTGACAGCTCTGTGAAACAGTATTTACAGAGTGTTGAACTTCTAACGGGGGGGTAATTAAGAAAGCCAGCTAGGACCCAAAGTTCCCCATATAATCCATGGAGATAAGGTAGGAATTGAGAGAGATCCATAATGTTTAAATTAAATGGCCTTGGAACCTAAACTCGATGATGTGACAGTTTCCTTGACCCCCTGAAAAATACTTGTAGTAATGCTTATCGTTTTGTGCATGTTAACGTTCTATAGAATACACAAAGATGGAAGAAAACCACACACAATAAGGCTGGCCACCCGCCAGTTTTCTTCAACTAATAAATGGTTTAATCGGGAAAGTCGTCAGTGTCCTATTCCACCTCATCTCATTCAGAAATTTGGAAAAGGTAAACTCTGAATTTTTGAAAGTATCCACTTTGTGCTGCTATCTTTTAACTTGTCTGAAAATTGTACGTTGCGTAAAGATTTTAAATGTTGGTTAACTGGTGCTGAGGTCAGGTGTGAGCATTAGAACAAACCTAGAAGAAGTACAAACAGTGTTTTGAGGAGAGCTAATGAATATACTCAGGTGCTTTTTGACTGTCAAAGTAGTACATGCTAACTGGATTAAGATGAAAATCTGAGATACTTTATCTGTTTTACTGAAAAATTCCATTATTTAGTTTCATAATATCCCTTAGGCCTAATAGTTGGGAGCTTTTCCATTATTTGTAATGGATGCATCTTGAGATATGCTAAAAATATACAGAAATTCACTGTAGGAATAACATCTGTGTTACTGTCAAGTTTTAACTCAGCCTTGCTGGGTTAGTAGCATTAAGTTGGAAGGTGGGTGGGGGATGTTGTTTCCTACATTAATTATCTGCTTGCCTATGCTATGGATTTGAATTATGTTCCCAGATAAATGGAATCTATTATGTAATAAAATGTCTCTTTTTGATGTACTTTTTAAAATTAATAACACATAGCTCTCATCTTTTTCAAACTTAAGTTTTCCAACCTAACCAGCAATTGCAATTCATTTGACACTCGAGGAGAGGGGAGATAAATCTGAAACACTGCTATACTAGCATGCAGAATCACTGTTCCCTGACTTGCTTTATTAATCCCTGAATTATTTCTCACAGTTGGGTGGATTCCTGCTATGTTGGAGGTGACTAAAAATTATTGTTGTTCTCATGTAGTCAGGCAAATACCAGCACAGTTTATTGGGATTGCCAGTGTTGATGTAGTGTCGTATACCTGCGTAGCCCTGTAAAGGCCCTTTTTCGTAGAGCTAGACCATTGCTCAAACCAATTCAGCTTGGCAAGTATTATGTAATTATTCTCTCCTAACTGAAGTACATAATATTAAGCTACCTTTCCAGGAATAAGATTCAGCATTTTGCGGGGAGGAGTGGGGAAAGGAACGCAGTCTGCATTCAGTTCAGGGCATACCTGACAAGGCAAAACAGAAGTCTTAATGACCTAAGCTATATTGATTAGGGGTAAATCTCTAGGACTGTTATTTTAACAGATTATTTCGGAAACCTTTAGCAGGTGTTTAGCACATAATACTTGAGGAACTCGCCCTGTGAAATGAATAAAGGTTTTAAACTTCTTAGCTTACTACTGATCTCTATTTTTGTCTACACGCAAAATGATGAAAGTTCAGAATGTAAAATTAAGAGTGCCTAATATTTTGCCTTTGTACTTTGCTACTTAAATCATAATCTCTTTCAGTTGTTTACAGAAGGCTTTTGATTACATACATTGCTTTTTTTTTGTTTTTGTTTTTTTTTGTATTAGAAAGCAGCAGTATTATATCCCCATTGGTTGATATTCTAATGAAACTCTTTCGAAAGATGATAAACGTAGACCTACCATTTCATCTGACGCTTCTGAGTGTCTGCTTCTCCAACCTCAAAGATCTTCCTAGCAGCAAGAAAGGATCAATTGGTTTTTATCTAACAGAGGTGTCACCACCTTCAGCCTCTGGTAATAATGTCCAGGTAAGTTGAAAGATACTGAAAATTTCTTTTCCAGGTAAGTAAGTTCTGAGATGATGTTTCTGTCAATATAGATTTAAACCTTAATGCTTTGGAAGCTTTAGGATCACAAATTGTATTTGTGTAGTAAAAATAAAGATTCCTTTGGAGTCTTCTGAGCGTTACTTGTTTGCTTTCTTTCTTTAGTTATTATTAAATATGTTTCATTCAGCGTAGCGTGAATGGGACAGCCAGCTAAGTTATTGACCCTTTAGACTGAAGAGAACAAATTCACTAAAGGAAAAATCCAAAACTAATCCCTGAATTTAGCTCTTGATTCCAGTAAGATCTGCCATCTGTTTAGCAGTTGTGAAACAACAGGTCAGTGATTCAGGTACAGTCACGCTGAAGTATCTTTTCATATTTTGCATCTGAATATCCTGGAGCTAGTACTTCTAGAGTAGCTGATCTACAGATCATATTTTGGTGGAATTGATTTAAATTTGATTTAAAGACAAACTCAGAGACAGAACTTTAATTTTTACCTCAGGTAAAATCTCACTGATGTTTATAATCTACCTTGTTGTTATAAAAATGCATTTACAGTGGTCATTTCTGTTTCTGTGTGTTCATAAGTCTCCCTGTTCAGACTAGAAATCAATTAAAGATTCAATTGGCCAGTAGTGTTGGCTTCTGATCTGGTGAGCTTCTAATTGCTGCTCTGAACTGAACAAAATCTCCCTCGCAGCTGTACACACTAGACAGTATAGGAGCTGTGGAAATATTTAGCAGTGTTTCCGTAGACAAGGTCTGTGGTTTTGATATGTCATACAAAAACTTAGTAACCTCAAACTTACTTTGTATAATGAATTTAGTGTTTTTGTCCTGACATAATAATTTTGCATATTGATACATTTCTGTTTCTTTACTGCTGAGGAATATGATGAATAACACTACATTGTATATTCTAAAGTTCCGCCAAGGTTTAAAACAATAAAACGTAACTTCAAAATATTTGCTCCTTTAAAATAAGAAGAGAAGCCCCATGTGTATCTGCCTTCAAGATCTATGTTTGAAAATAAGATTAGAAAAAAGACAGGTTAAGCATGAGCCAGCAGTGTGCCCTTGTGGTCAAGAAGGCCAATGGTATCCTGGAGTGCATTAGGCAGAGTGTTGCCAGCAGGTGGAGGGAGGTGATCCTCCCTCTCTTCTCAGCCCTGGTGAGGCCTCCCCTGGAGTACTGTGTCCAGTTCTGGGCTCCCCAGTACAAGAGAGACATGGCGCTACTGGAGAGAGTCCAGCAGAGGGCTACAAAGATGATGAGGGGACTGGAGCACCTCTCCTATGAAGAAAGGCTGCAAGAGCTGGGCCTGTTGAGCCTGGAGAAGAGAAGACTGAGAGGCGGTCTGATCAATGTGTCCAAGTATCTGAAGGGAGGGTGTCAAGAGGATGGGGCCAGACTCTTCTCCGTGGTGCCTGGCTATAGGACAAGAGGCAACAGGCACAAACTGAAACACAGGAAGCTCTGTCTGAAGATGAAGAGAAACTTTGTTACTGTGAGGGTGACTAAGCACTGGAACAGGTTGCCCAGAGAGGTGGCGGTGTCTCCTTCTCTGGAGAAATTCGAAAGCTGTCTGGACACAATCCTGTGCAATGTGCTTTAGGTGACCCTGCTTGAGCAGGGGGTTGGACTAGAGGATCTCCAGCAGTCCCTTCCAACCTCAACCGTTCTGTGTGATTGTGTGTGTGACAACGTTACTGATCATAAGGAAAAAAAGATTACAGTCTATTAAGGATTTGAAGAATTCACTGTTAGTAAGTAGTAGTCTACACAGAACACGTACTTATGTTTTATTATGTACATTTTATGCCACAGGAAACGGAAGATGTCTCACAGGGCCAGGCAAGCTCTTCCTGGAGCCAGAATTTCAACAGAACTGGAAATACACCAGTGAGGAAACTTTCAGAAGAAAAGCAAAGCTGTATAAGAAAAGCTGGAATTCTTGACTTCCCATTTCATTTGTCTCCTGGTGACATTGACCAGGAGGTCTTCCGGGAACTTCCAGAAGATATTAGGAAAGAAATTATTTCTGAAAGAACAGGAGAAACGATCCCTACAGAGAATGTTTTTAGTAGGCCGTCACTGTGTTTTCCAAAAGAGATAAATAGCACTTCTCCAAATTCCAAAAGAGTAAATGATGATATGAATGCTTCAGGGTGCAGTATATACTTCAGATCAGCTCATGACTCTGCAACTGCTCTGGCACACAGCTCCAGCGCCAGTTGTTCTTCTGAGTATCCTGGAAGTATATTGATAGATGGCGATATAGAAAAAGACGCGACTGACTCGCTGAATTTCCGAGAGAGAGATGCGCTGGCTCTGGAAGTTGGAGCCAGCCAAACTGTTCTGCCTGCACCTGTCTTCAGTAAAGATGAGCAAGCCTTTGGGACAACTTCTGAGGATAAAACCCATGGTAGCAGAGAAGGAATCGTATTTCCCCTTAATGTTGACCCAAAGACTTTTTTTGAACTACCTGCAGATGTGCAAAAAGAACTACTAGCTGAATGGAAGAACCAGGAACTTGCATCTAAAATGTTTATGGGTAAACCTCCTGAAAAGCCTAAAGCAAACAGAAGAAGAAAGAATACAGCATCGTGTTTTTCACAATCTAACAGTTTACTAAGATATTTTAAACCACAGTGAAACATTTTTATAATACAAGGGCACTACAAGAAGGGGCACTGAAGACAGTTCACTTTATGAAGACTTAATGTAAATTGTAAAGATGTGAATATTAAAAATATATTTTGGTAACTTTAGACATAATATCTACTAGTGATTTCTTTAAGAAGTAACTATTCCATCTTGTTTTCCTTTGACGTTTTTAGACTTGCACATCATTTTGTGAGAAAGCATGACTTGATCAGATAAATCCTACATTGTCCTAAAATACTACAGTGTAGTTTGCAAAAATGCCATTTAGTATTCACTGTTAATGCCTTAACACACTGACTGTGGGGGAAAAGAGCACCTTTTGAATTTATTTTGTTAATTTGTACTATTTCTCTGTTAAGCGTTACAGCAACTTGGGAGGGCAGGAAGCAGTAAAGATGAAAACTCTGTACACGCTATTCTTTAACTTGCACCTTTGTGTCTGTGACGTGTAATGTAAACTGACACAGCAGTCAATATTTTTTGCAGTTAAATGGTAACTGGAAGCATTAGAAATACTGAGGAGTAAGGCTGGAAGCATTAGTTATAAATACATTGCATCACCAGGATGTTCCGGGACAGTACGCAGCATAAAAAGGCTGACTGGAGGTTGGTTTGGTGTTCAGGACTCAGGAAGTGACACAACTGAGTTACAGAGCAGCTTTTAATGAGACGCTATATAACTGAATTCATCAGGCTCGTCTTTGGATGTTTAATTCCAAAACACTGAAATAGTTGCTAATTGCTATTACACATTTATAGTAATAAACATGTTTAATGTCTCCAGTATACAGGATGCTTGCTTGTTTCAGTCAGAAGTACGTAATTTTGAGGTAAAAAGTTATCAAAATGTGTTTAAAGCTATGGCAAAATATTTTTGACTATTTTAACATTGCTGTAGTTTACATCACCATATTCTCACATAACTGTATACAAAGTGCAAAAATATTACAAAACATCACTTGATTACATTGAAAGCTACATCCTGTATTTCTGATGGCACTTCAGTGTAAATTCTGACATGATTCCCAAGAGCAGAAAAAAATAGCATTCATAATTTAATATTTAACAGATAAGTTAAGCTTTACACATTTCCACATAAACCACAATTAAAATACTAAACTTCATCCTCTATTTTAAAATGAACACAGATGAAAGATGCACATAGCATAAGTGCATGTTATTTTTCACTTATGGTTAATTATGGTCTTTCAAGCCTTTCAGTCCAGCTCTTGTTTCAGTTATTAAATTTATGAGAGTAGTAGGTATTGCTGTCTCCACCACAGAGTAGGGAAGCATTCCTCCTAATTCTGGCTGAATAAATACAACTAGCTTGGAATGCTCTGGATTCCTAGGATGAAAAGGACAGAAGCCTTCAATTAAAACTCATCTCTCTTGCTTCTAAACTTACTGAGATGCAAGTTACAATTTATAGTCCATCTCTGAAATAGCATTACTAATATGAAAGAATGGATTATGGATAAAGTTCCTAGGACATGAACTTCAGTTATTACTATGCGTCTCAGGAGGTTCCCTAAATAGTTTAAGGAGACTGTCTGAGCCAGAAAACTGACCTCCAAGAAAATCTAAAAGTTTCCCTGGAATATAACTGGCTCAATAAAAAAGCTCTTGTGTGGCTTTTATAAAGTCTTGCATAGAGAAGATAACTGAATAATCGAAGATAATAACATAAGGAGGTTTAAAATACTTACTCTGGCAAGGGTGAACACACATACCCACAAGGATTGTTATAGCCACGGACGCAAGGAGGAGTTGGAGGGCATCCTGAATATTCCACACTGACAGCTGTATCACCGCACAAAAAAGCGGCATCAAATTAGTTATTTATATATACACATCTATATGTACATCTATCTCTCTCTCTCTATACATATATATATATATAAAATATATAAAAATTGTAACTTAAGAAAAGCTTTTAAAAACACAGCACTATTCCAGAAATGGGATAGTACAAAAAAAATTCTCAACATGATCAGCCAGGCATTAAGGAAGTGTATTCTGTAGGCAAAATACCTAAACAACATTAAATACTTGTGCAAGTAATTCAATATACGTAAAAATTTCTACAGATGCTTGGGCAAAAGTACTATCATTGAGACGTGTTTATATGTACCTAAAGCTGACTTGTGGTTTAGTTCTGAACAAAGGAGTCTGTTAGCAGATATGCTAATAGCTTATTGTGTCAGCAGAATAAACAAAGAACACGGTTTTGGGTTTTTTTTTTTTTTGAGATAGACTTTTCTAGTTGCAATATTAAAATAAAAAAAGAAACTTTGGTTTGAGGATAAACAGGAAGGGATTGTTAGTATTTAATTTAGTAAGACCGCACATGGAGCAAGTACTATATACTGTGACTGGGCTGCAGAACTGATTGGAAAACAATTCACATTAGGATTTCCAGAATGCAGCCAAGATATATAAACATGCAGTAGTTATGTAAAACTTACAGTTAGTTGTAAGGATACCACCAGGATAGGGTTTAACATGCACCAAGTCAACAAAATCTCTTGATGAAATCAGTCCCATACCATAACTGTGTGTTACACTGTGGTATATACCGGTATCCTACAAGTAAGTAAATGTAATTTGTTGAATGAACGTGTAAGCAGCTAAATTTTTATTTACCTGGAAAAGCAGCTGAATAATGAGAATGTGGCAAGAATGGATTTATTTGTTAGCAAAGAAAGACAGTTCTCATGTCCAGTTAGTGCTGAACTAACACCCATAACTGCCATGAAAGGGATTTCCTAGAGTGCTGGGATGCATTGCCATTCCTTGTGACTGGAGGCAAGGAATATCATTTCCACATAAAAAGCTCAAAACGTGCACACCAAGTATTCTAGCTCTACAGATACTAATTTGCATTAAGATACATATGCTAGATAGTATGTTACGTTCTAGGACAAAGATTCATGGTCTGAGCATGTGTTTTAAAACTAACCAGTTCCAAAAAAGCAGAGAGAAATGAATGAATGTACCAATATATCCTAATATCTGACAAACTCTGGCAGATCCAGGCAGAGGGAAGTGAACGATTTGCAGAAGAGAAAAAGGGGAAGATTTTTATTTTATCAGTATAGAGAGTATTTTCATACATGAGTCATTTATACATGTGGAATATGTTCTTAGACCTTTCTCAATCATATGCAGGGCCATTTCTTTCAAATGCTTAGATAAAGGCTTGCTAATTCAGAACTGATATTCTTCGTGGGTGTTTTAAGCTCTTGTCTTTCAGAGCACCTGGGACAACGCCAAAAATAAATGGAATTCTAAATATGTAATGTTTCACTGCTCTGGTACAGTATCAATTCAATTTCCATGCTGTCCTTGACTTCAGTGTATTTAAAATAGCTCAGCATCTAGGGGAATACAAGACAGTGTCCAACTATAGTAGCTATAATAATATTAACATAAATTAAGAAGGATCTGATCTGCAGATTCCCTAGAGTGCAATCTAATTCATGTCTATGATAGCTGTGTTCACATAAAAGTTACCTGGTATTCCCATGCAAATACAATCAAGTACATACAAAGTAGACCTGAAGTTATTTGCGTTTTTCAGGGATTGGAGGTAGTTGTATATTTAACTTCTAAAACTCCCACTATACCTCCCTCCCTCCTTCCCTCCCCAAATTTCTGTGTTGATATACTACCAAAGAAACATCCTAGTTTGTTACAAGCCAGAAGAGTGTTTTTTTAATTTGTGTTAACTACACTAACTCAGAGGGGTGTTTTCTCTGGATTTTGGTGTGATTTTGTCTCATCCTACGCTTAATGGAGACTTCTGATGTTTTCTATCCACTGAATTACTGACGTGCTCAAGGTTATTTATTTTATAATAAATACTTCACTCCTAAAAGGAGGGACACAATTCATACCTACTCCACATCAGCTAGCACATTTAGAAATGAAAAGTTTTTACCAAACCAGAATGTACTTCATACTGACATCCTAGAGACTAAATTTTCTCTGTACCAGTAGAGGTCTTTTTAATGACCACAACTCAGGCAGAAAGAGATTAAAAAAAAAAAAAAAAATCTTTGAATGAAATTATTGTATTACCTGGTCAATCTTTTCCAACAGCTTGTAAGATTGTAATGCTTTGTCCCACTTGTTTCGATATTCAGGAAGATACATAAAAGGAATAATTTTACTAGGGACTTCCTTAATTATCCCTTCTCCTCGGTATCTAGATTTTATAAAAAACAAAACCAAATTATTAGTTCGTATTTGTGAACTGGAAAAAGAAGTTATATAATAATAAAGATCTAGCAGTTGGGTATGCCAGGCTATAATGAGGTAAAGCACTTGCTGGATTGATTAAACTTCAAATAATAATAAAAATACTTATTCTGCAACTCTTTTTTGAGAGAATTACAATCTTGGCACCATTCATTTTAAATTATTTATTTATCGTGAATTATTAGATAGGAACCTGTTAGTTCAAATACACGTAGCAATGTTCATCCATTAATTCATCTTTTTCCAAATGACTACTTCCAAAATCCATTTTGATGGACAGTGAGAAGATTTCTAAACTAGTCTATTCTAGCATTTCTCAAACTTTTGTCCATAATCCTCTGGGGAGTTCAAGGGAAAGTTCAAAGAGGGGAAAAATGGGCCACTAATAAGGAAACAGGAAGCTCCTGCAATGCTAGCAACTGCTCACTAATACTGATAGTTCTCACACCTAGTTTCTGGAGAAACTGTGAATCATTGCAGTAAGCACTTACAGGGCAGCAATTATAACCAAAGGTGAAAGATGCTGCATGAACATAGATGAGCTCTGAAAGAGACTATGCTTACAAAAAGTTTTCATGAAACCAGTTGTACATTCCCTGATGATGTATGAACGTAAATCAAGAGCAGCGAAGAAAACTAGATTTAAAACCCAGTGCAGCAGCCTTGCAAAATTATGGGTCTGCTTCTCCACGCTGCAGCAGCTTTTGTCACCACTTAACTGCCTTGGTGGAGTAAGTGCAGTGTGGGTGTACATGCCTACTCCAGAAACTCGACTCTCCAGTACCTACAACAGGTAGAGATGGTGATGGAAAACACGTTAATGTCTACTGAAAAACAGGGAACGTAAGCTGTGGCAGAGCCAGTTAAAATCAGCATGTTACTATTTGGATACACCCTTCATTTCCACAGCTGCCATGAACTTATCATGTTTACCAATCTCGTGAGTAGCTCTTGCCTCCATCCTGTAATATCTTCTCTCCTAAACTCAGTAGGAGTCGTTAATCAGAAGGGTTTCCTCTATGCAAGGCTTCTGAAAAATACAATTGCTAGAATAAAAGGGCACTTCACCTGATTGAAGCCAGGATTTGCATTCTTTTTCACTACCAAATCATATATTGACTTATTTTAGCAAGTAAAGCAAACCATTAATACTCCTGTTAATGAAAAAGGAAACTGCCATCTGTGATATGTGGTTAATAAATATCCAGTGTCAAACTGGAAATTGGAACAGCTCTAATTCTGTTCCCAGAAGCAGCTGATATTACTTCATAAAAGATAAGCTGTATCAGTCCCTAGCATATCTCATTATAATGCTATAGTATAATTCTTCAGTAATACTAGTGACACAGCATTGACTTCTGTAGCGAATACCTTTGTTGTTGACACCTTCAGAAAAGTAATTGAGCAAGATTTTTGGATTCACAATACCACTAGTCAGGAATATATCATATTCAGAAGAAAAAAGATTCAGATGCAAATTTTCTCTACTGTATATCTGTCTAGATCAATATTTCACTTAACTCAATATGCATTAAGCATTTAAAAGAGAAGAGAAGCTCAGGACATGTCATAAGTGCCTATTTTCCTCCCCTTTCACATGCTTCTCTTCAGGGTGATTTTTTTCCCCTGGTCACTAAGGGATCAGCTGAGGGCCACAGCCAGCACAAACAAGAAGCAGGACTGCAGAGCCAGGAGAGGGGGTAAGGAAGAAGAGTGCAGCAATGTGAAGAGCAACACCAACTCTTATCAGTGACAGCAAGCTGCGAGAAGCAGCCTAGTCTGCCTCACCTAACTCCACCCTTTGGGCCAAATCCAGCTGCTTAACAAAAGTAGCACAGAATTCATAGCTCAAGAAAAGGAAAGATAGATAGAGCTGCTGCTCCAGAGGCTGCATGGGCCTCTCCTCCCTGATAAAATGTATTCTGTTTCAGATGCTAGAAAGAAGAAGGGCAGAAAAAGGACAGAGAAGGGAGAGTGAGAGAGTATGTTTACATTTGTGAATATCAGTCAATTCACAAAGATAAAGAGGTGAAAAGGGAAGCTGAAATGTAAGGGTATGAACAGAATTTTCCTGCCAGGAAGAGCTACCAACTTCAGGCCGAAACAGTGATTCCATATTTACTTATTCCATTATAACAACTGTTACTCAACATTTAATTTTCATAGCACATTTGAAAACCAATTGGGAAATCCATCTCTTCGCTATTCCAGGACTGTGACTGACACTGTGCAACTATAGCACAACATCTTTTCTAGAGCCAACAAATTTTAGCTTAACAGTTTTCAGAAGGATAGATTATGATTAGTTTTTCTATTCGAATCTTGAGTGTCACTCTTAAAAACTGAAGTGTATATTCATTACAATGAGAAGCAAAATATAAATACTTACATGTTTCCTGAATACTCTTTTGAAGGCTTTGAAGCAACTGTAATATTTTTCTCAAGAGAGAAGAGGAAAATAGTAAGTCAGGAGTTGATAAAAAGCATTCAACTAACTTTTAAAGCAAAAAGAAATTGTAAACACTTTTTTACAACACAACAGATTTAATAAAAACAACATCATGAACAATATTAACTAGTATTTTCTTACTGAAACTTTTATCACTCTCCATCCTGAAGTATCTTGGTTGTATGATAGAATTTTTGTAGAAACTTCATCCGTAATTTTCTTATAGTCCATTTATCTGTAAAGATTTAAGAGCAATTTATTGGCATATTGATAAAAGCACTTCTCAACGAGCAAAAAGCATAGGGCTCATCCTCCCACAGGCTTTAACGAACCTTTACTGAGTATTTCTATCGAATCAACTACTTCTTATCCGTCATATACTGTTTCAGAAAAAGAGAGTCCTTATTTAAACAAAACCATAAGCGGTTTCCATGCATATTTTGCCCTGAGAAGTAGCTATTGGAGCAGGTCTTAAGACTGAACAGCCTCTCATGTGACGCGCTCCTCACTCCACACTAAATCCAACGTTACCGCACGTTAAAACTACCTCCCCTGACACAGTTTACCACCCGAGGCCCCGATGCTGCAAAGGTTTGCTGAGGGCGAGCAGATCTGCGGCCAACTCGCATCACCTGAAACGGCGGCGCGGCTCACGAGCAGCCGGACAGAGGCTTCCCCCCACCCCAGAGCTCTCCCCCATCACCTTTATGGGCGCTGCAGTGTGCAAGCTGCTGGGCAAGGCCTGGCTCAGGCAGACCGCGCAGGCCGGGCGGCCGCCCGGACCCTCGCCAGCGCCGACACGGCCCTGCCGGCCGCTTCTCACCTCTCCGCCCTCTCCTCCCGACGCGCGCGGTATCTGCCTGGCAGCCCTCGGTCATA